TTGACAAGCTCTGTTGGGACTTTTAATGATGAACTCCGCTGGGGATTCTGTTGACGAGCTCTGTTGGGACTTTTAATGATGAACTCCGCTGGGGATAGAAAGAACTTCGCTGGGGATGATCTTTCAGTTGCAACTTGCTGAGAATAACCCAGTTAGACTCTTGTGAGGATAACCTTCTGAATTTGGCTGGGGAGATTTATTTGTGCTCTGCAAGGGATAAGCTTCCAGAATCTACTGGGTAAGATGATTCAACTCTGCAAGGGGAAGCCTTTTTTAGATTGCGCTGGGGAAATGACTCCATTGGGGTATCTTGTATTCAGCCGGAGAACATTCTTATATTCTGTTGAGGAATATTAAGACTGCTGGAGATGCTCTTATGCTTGCTGGAGGATATCTTTATACTCCGTTGGGAAAGATTAAGACCTTATGGGGATACCCAACCTTTTTAGGGCTGATAGTAGATTAACTCTTCTTGGGGAGAGTATTACTGATTTGTACATAGCTGCAAGTCTCAGTAGGGAGAGCTACCATTGCTGTTTTACTATGTGGGGAGTGATGGTATCTTGGTCATATTCTTCAGCTGAACCTCTCTTGGTACCTTGGTGGATAGAGCAACTAGACAGCTCGAACAATTCTTATTGCCCCTGTTTCTGATATTACCAGTAATCTGTCCTTTGTTTCGCATGTAAATATTTATGAGCATCAATTAATGTCAAATGCATATATCAAAAATGAACATTGAACGTTTTTTTGCAAAACAAAACAGATGAAGGAAAAACAATTTGAAATTTGTCTGAAAATGAATTTGTATTGATTTTGAAGTTTGCCTGTAAATAGGCATTTTTGTACAAGAGGCTGACGTCCTAGTAAGAGAACACCGCCGAACAAATAGAATTTATACAATTTTGTGAAAAGAAAACAAAACAGCTATGTGAATAATCCCACTGGGTTCCAACTCTGCTATTGCCTTTATATCTTTAAGCGTCTCATCACTTTGCTGCTTAGTTGAAGATGAATTTGTTTGATTGGTGTTGTCCGAGCTTGATAGTTGATACCGAAGTCTGGATGCAAGGTGATCCAATGAGACATAGTATTACCCTTTGATCCCTAACTTTTGCCTGGACCGCCCTTTCGGGTTTTCAGTCCACCGGGATACCCATTTTTGCCCAAGCCGCCTTTTCAGGTTTTCGACTTGCCGGGTGTACAGATTTTTTCATTTTCATCCCTTATTTTTGCCCGAACCCTTTTGGTTCACCGGGAAGCCCTTATTTTTGCCTAGGCCAGTCAAACTAGCGGGTCTTTGATTATGCGTAGTATCTTTTCACTATGTCTGCATTGACGGGGTGAGGAAGGTCGTCACCATCCATGGTGGTTAGAATCATAGCTCCTCCTGAGAAGATGTTCTTAACCATAAATGGCCCTTCGTAAGTATGGGTCCATTTGCCCCTGGGATCACCTTGAGGTAAGATAATGCGCTTGATTACCAATCCCCAACTTGATACTCTTGTCGTCTGACTTTCTTGTTGAATGCCTTGATCATCCGTTTTTGGTACGTCTGACCATGACAGAGAGCAGTAAGTCTTTTTTCGTCGATTAGATTCAGTTGATCAAGTCGGGTCTGGATCCAGTCATCTTCGCTCAAACCTGCATCCTTCATGATCCGAAGAGAGGGTATCTGAACTTCAATTGGCAAGACTTCCTCCATGCCATATACCAAGGAATAAGGTGTTGCCCCTGTTGACGTCCGTGCTGAGGTACGGTACCCGTGAAGAGCAAATGGTAACATTTTGTGCCAGTCTTTGTATGTCACTGTCATCTTCTGCACAATCTTCTTAATGTTCTTATTTGCTGCTTCGACAACCCCATTCATCTTCGGCCGGTAGGGAGAAGAGTTATGATGTTGTATCTTGAATTGCTCGCAGAGCTCAGTGATCATTTTGTTATTAAGATTGGTACCATTGTCCGTAATGATCCTCTCTGGTACACCGTATCGACAGATCAGATTGTGCCGAATGAACCGTGCCACGACGTTCTTGGTTACCGTAGCAAAGGAAGCTGCTTCAACCCACTTCGTAAAGTAATCAATAGCTACAAGGATGAAACGATGCCCGTTGGATGCCGTAGGTCTGATCTCGCCGATCATATCAATGCCCCACATTGCAAAAGGCCAAGGTGCTGTCAAAACATTCAGAGGAACTGGAGGTATGTACACCTTATCAGCATATACCTGGCACTTGTGACATGTCCGAGAATGCTGATAACAGTCGGCTTCCATTGTGGACCAGTAATATCCTTCCCGAAGGATTTTCTTTGCCATGGTATGTCCACTGGAATGAGTTTCGAAGGTACCTTCATGTAGCTCTGCCATGATCCTTTCTGCTTCAATCTTATCCACACAACGTAGTAAGGTCGAATCATGGTTACGTTTGTAAAGAATGCCATTGCTGATGAAGAACTTGGCTGCAAACCTCCTCAGAAACTTCTTGTCATTAACAGATGCACCCTCAGGGTATTCTTGAGCTTCAAGGTACCTCTTCACCTCATGATACCAGGGCTTTTCTGTTACCTCTTCAGTCTCAAGATCACAGCAATGTGCAGGTTCGTCCAATTTTTCAATGATGATCTGGGGAGTCTCGTTGTCCCAATTGACTTTGAACATAGAAGACATCGTAGCCAGCGCGTACGCCAACTGATTCTCCTCTCTAGGGAAGTGTTCAAAGGTTATCTCCTCAAAATGGGGAAGCAATGTCAACACATACTCCTTGTAAGGAATAAGATTTGGGTGTTTCGTATCCCACTCGCCTTTGATCTGACTGATCACGAGAGAGGAATCTCCGAAGACACTCAGAAACTTAATCCTTAGGTCAATTGCAGCTCGAAGACCCATGATGCACGCTTCATACTCTGCCATGTTGTTGGTGCAGTTGAAACATAGTCGGGCGGTAAACGGAGTATGAGAGCCTTTAAGAGATATGATCACGGCGTCGATGCCATTACCCAAAGCATTTGAAGCTCCATCAAAGTGCATAGACCATCGGGATCCTTCCTCAGGTCCTTCATTCGGTCCAGGTGTCTCACAATCAGTTATCAGCATGATGTTCTCGTCCGGGAATTCAAAGTTCATAAACTGGTAATCATCCACTGCCTAATGTGCCAAATGGTCTACCAATACACTTCCCTTGATTGCTTTTTGAGTCGTGTACTGGATGTCATACTCAGTCAAAATCATCTGCCATCTTGCTATTCTTCCGGACAAGGAAGGCTTTTCGAAGATATACTTGATTGGATCCATCTTTGAAATCAACAGAGTAGTGTGAGTCAGCATATACTGTCTCAGCCGGCGAGCAGCCCATGCCAAAGCGCAACAAGTTTTCTCAAGCAGTGAGTATCGGGTCTCACAGTTGGTAAACTTTTTGCTAAGGTAATAAATAGCATGCTCTTTTCGGCCAGACTCGTCATGCTGACCCAACACACATCCCATTGAGTTGTCAAGTACTGTCAAGTATAGAATCAGGGGTCTCCCTTCAACTGGTCGCATCAGGATAAGTGGCTCCTGGAGATACTCTTTGATTCTTTCTAAAGCGGCCTGACATTCATCATTCCAACGTACCACTTGATCTTTCTTCAGTAACTTGAAGATTGGCTCATAAGCAGCAGTTAGGTGTGAGATGAATCGGGCAATGTAATCCAGTCGTCCTAGAAAGCCTCTGACCTCCTTCTCTGTCTTAGGAGCTGACATCTCTTGTATGGCTTTCACCTTGGAAGGGTCGACTTGAATACCTTTGTCGCTCACGACGAAACCTAGTAGCTTACCAGACCTCACCCTGAAGGTGCACTTATTCGGGTTCAACCTTAACTTGTACAACTTCAGCCTGTCAAACAGCTTCTGCAGATGGTCAAGGTGTTCCTCCTCAGTTTGGGACCTTGCAATCATGTCGTCGACGTATACTTCAATCTCATGATGGATCATGTCATGAAACAAAGCAACCATGGCACGCTGATATGTTGCCCCAACATTCTTCAGTCCAAAAGGCATGACTTTGTAGCAAAATGTGCCCCACTGAGTAACAAAGGTGGTCTTCTCCATATCTTCGGGAGCCATCTTGATCTGATTATAACCGGAGAAACCATCCATAAAGGAGAATACCTTGTGCTGAGCAGTATTGTCAACCAGAAAGTCGATGTGAGGTAGAGAGAAGTCATCCTTGGGGCTTGCCCTGTTCAAATCCCTGTAGTCAACACACATTCGAACCTTCCCATCCTTCTTCGGCACATGAACCACATTGGCGACCCACTGAGGGTAAGAAGTTACTGCTAAAAAACCGGCGTCAAATTGTTTCATAACTTCAGCCTTGATTTTCTCAGACATTTCTGGGCGCATACGGCGAACCTTCTGTTTTACCGGAGGACAGTCTTCCTTGGTAGGCAGGCGATGAACCACAATGTCAGTATCCAAACCAGGCATATCTTCGTAAGACCGGACAAAGATCTCAACGTAGTCACGCAGCATCTGAATCAACCGTTGTATTTGCACCAGTGATTTGGTTAACAACTGTGTGGAGTATCTGAAAGATGATATAATTTAATAAGTGTTGCAGCTCTTATCAAAATTTTCCAACAAATTATAATTTAATAAGTATGAAAATGTACCTAACCCTGTTGTAATCTTTTAAGGCACATATATCAACAATATATTAATTCAACACAGTATTTTTTTTAATTATAAATTTCAAGCATACATTCATATGTACTGGCCATACGATACTAGGATACTATTAGATACCGGGATACACCCATAGTGCTAGCTAGTTTTATTTAATATACATATGATCCGGTTCTTGCACATCACATTCCTCCCTCAAAACATGAGAGTCAAATGAAGATGAAAATCCTCAAATCACAAACATGAAATTGTTGAATGAGAGATGAGTGCACAACCATTTAACATTTACATGACACAAAGATTGTCTGCGGTATGATTTGGTACCCAAGCAGCGGCTTTATTGCCAATGAAATGACATACAGGGACAGTTCCAGGAGTAACTTCGAGTGCTTCATAAAGCAACTCAGGATTCATACCTCTAGTGTCATGGTGGCAGACTATTAAAGCCTTAGTTTTAGTTCCATCTGAGGCTACCAATGAGACCACATAAGCGGTTGTATCACGCACTTGGTGGCAATTGAATACTACCTTTTCAAAATTCAATCTATGACACATCACTGCATTATCTCCAACCTTTTTCACATCTTCCACTACATATTGGTCTTGATATGGAGCAAAGTTACTTGAAATTGCCTTAATCTTTGTACTTCCAAAATGTGAAATGACTTGGTCAATCATCGATTTCAAGGATGATACGCAATGTTTGTGTTCTGCTATAGCAGTTGGACTATAACAAAAGTCCTCAAGACTTTGTTTCTCTTTATTTGCCAGCCATATGGAATCTGTGACCCCTTGTCTTGATTTTGTGAATGGTCGAATTATACTTCCTACAGAATTAGTGTTGCCCAAGATAAATTTTTTCCCAGGGTGAAGGTCATGTTCAAAAAACAACGTTGAGTATTGCTTCAATTCTTCACTTTTGATGGGTAGACTATTAGTTTTTCCACCTGCCATGTTAATTTTACAAGAAATTAAGTTAAAGATTACAACCAGTAATGAAATGAATACAAACAATAATTCTGAGATTAATTTGGAAAGTTATAGTTTAAATTACTAACTAGGAATTAACATATCGGAGAAGGTCTTTGGCAAAGGAGTGTTTGGCCAAATAGATTGCCAATAATCTTCTCCGGGTGATGTCGCAGTGATTCCCACGAAAGCTAGCTGCAAAATAAATTCATGACTCGTTTGAAACAAAAACCATGCATACGTTAAATCTTGAAGATTAGAAAATATTTAGCTTACGCAAAAGAGAGATAAAACAGTGAGATGTGCAAACTCCATTTGACTGGCTATGAAGAAATGATAATCGTGTAAAACTTAGTGAGTGTGTGTGAATGAAAGTATTGCAAAATCCTCATTATATAGACTACATGCATAACTAGTTGCATGTAAATTTGTAGTTTTCTTCATTATTGCTTCCTCCAAGTGGATGTCATGGTTTTACACATGGCTTCCATGCAAATCATTTCCAAAATATTTTTAAACTTTCCACAGGGCATCCATGCATGCACCTCAAAACTTGTGTGTGGTAACATTGTTGTCTTGAAAAATTACTAAACCTTTTGTCCACGTGACGTTCATGCGCCTCAAAGCTTGTGTGGTACCATTATTATCCTCAAGAATTATTGAATGTTTGGTGTATATGCCATCCATGCAGCATTGCAACAATTAAATCTCCAAACCTTGTGGTACCATATTCACTCACTTTAATTCTCCTATAGTAGAAATATTAGCAAATATTTACATTTCCAGTTGATTAGTATATGTATTTAGAAGACAAAAATAATTTAGAATCGATTAATCAACTTGCAAATTGCTAAGTGTTGGCAAACGTTAGCATAAAAGGTGTTATAAATTTAGTACCAAATATAAAAATTTATCGCAAATTAAATACATAACACACATAGTGAAATAAAAACAAATTACAAGGGTTTAGACGTTTAGTGGCAATGTGTAAATTTGCTGCAGGAGTTTTTCAGTTTTATTTAAAGGCAAATGTATAACATAGCCTACATTTTATCTGTATATGAATATATATGGTTGTCAAAATCTCGATTTCAAGTAGACTCGCGTATTGTAGCTAAATTGAATAAAAAATCTATAAATTATTGATTTTGTGCGATCTTTGTCAGCTTTGGCCATGATTCACCGTTTTACGACCACCACTATTAAAATGTGAGAATGATGACAAGATGTGGAAGCACAATAATTACGGTTCAGCGGGGATGAATTTTTGCTTTGTGAAATGAAGTTTTAGATTTAAGGTTTAGAGAATAAACTTTTAACATATAAGATTTGTTTTACCTAAACTTATGATAATCCTAATAACTGACCATATATGTCTCTAATGTCTAAACATTAACAAATATTTAATAAAATCTCAATCATAAATGTGTAAAGAATATCAAAAAGAATATTTTTTTCTCACAAATACACTTGCCTACTTACATACATCATTATATCATGTAAAAATACTTTAAATATATACTATTAATTTTTTTATTTTAGTAGGATCTTACTTTTTTTGTTACTATCTTATGATTTACGATTATGTTATTCCCTGTCAATGTTATAAAAATAATTGAGTAAAATCTTCTTATCTTAACTAAAATTTTATATTTTACAATATTATTATTCTCTCCGGATCTTATGTAAAATTTCGCTCTTGACAACCTTACTTCTAACCACTATGCATGAGCAAACACTCTAAACACATAAAACAACACTAAAAACATAAGGTTATCTCATTGTACTTTTTAGGTGTCCGATAAAACTAACATAGGCCTCTTGTTCGATCCACCCTACCATTAGGGCGACAGCGATGACACAATTCTTGATTGCAAGGTCGAAGTGATGATTCGTGGCGATATATTGATAAAGATATTGTTTGGAATAATGCGCTTGTTCTTTCACGGAGCTTCGAGATGATGATGTCAATGATGATGAGACATTCTCGTTAGTTTTGAGCCTCCTTGGAAAGTTTTGGTTAATGTTTGATATGTTTTGCGTATAATCTGTATTTTGATTCACATTATGTAGATGACTGTCAAATACCAATTATGTTGCAATGACAATTTATTTATTACGAGCTTAAAACATTCAAATAATAACATTGAAGTCATATTTAAAGAATGTTTAGAAATACGGCAATATAATCACATTTTATTGTTCTAAGGAACTCTAGGGTTTAGAAACACCGATCATAAGTTTAGCCTTTTTACTGTACAAGTGCATAAATTATCCATCCCTACTTAAACACAAATCTGGAATTTAATTTTTCTGTGCTATAAAAGAGCACGACTTTTGAGATAATGGAGTAATGGCAAGGCAAAAATAAAATTATCATTATAATAAAATGTTTACATGGATTATTACACTCAGTTTTTACATTAATGCTTAAAATTGCTTCAAATTGATTAATACAGACACAAATATCATATAGATCAATATTACATACACATACATATAAATATTATATATTAGTTTCCTTGATAGTGAGCACATAAACAAAATATAACCTTAAATTGTTAATAAATTGTGCCAAATTCTGTATTACAACATACTTTTTCAAATTCTGCACTACAACTCAAATTTAATTTCTAAACAAAATATTATTGATTTATAAATTGATCTTAGTCTTCTCTCTCGCTTCCTTGGCTTGGCTGCTAACAAATTTTATTGTGACTTTTTGATGATGCCATGTTTAATAAGCAATAAAGAATCCAAGGTGATAACAAAATAAACCAAATTGAAAATCAGAATTGTTAAAAAAGAAAATTATATTCTACGATTCTTGTTATTACGAGAGTTAATTGTATTCATGATTCTTCTTATAAATATGGTAACATAGTAACTGTCATATCAGTAAAATTAGAATAACTTATTTATAAGAATGAGTTACTGAATTATAGGAACAGATTCATCTAACTAGAGAGATGTATATATGTATATAATGCTCTAATGTTTCTAAAAGAAAACACAACCAAATTATTTCCATCTTCTCCTTTTATTTTACAAGGTATCAGAGTAGTAACGATTTGCTCCATCTCTTTCCCATTCTTTTACCTTTGATTTTTTTTTGTTTCTAAACCATCATAGCCAGTGATGGAAACAAATTTGATTTCAATAACTCTTACTCTCTTCATCATTCTGATCATCCCGAAATGGTTCTTGTTTCTAAACCTTTCAATGATGACAATTATTCGATTTGGCGTCGAGCCATTACCATCTCACTGAATTCAAAATCTAAGTTTGGTTTTGTTGATGGAACCCTCAAAGAACCACGTGCCAAAACCAAACCGGAAGACTACACGGCATGAAAAAAATGCAATGATATGGTTTTGTCATGGATTCTTAATTCATTAACCCGTGATATTGCAGATAGTGTTATGTTTTATGACACTGCTCATGAAGTTTGGGAAGATCTTCAAAATAGTTTCTTTCAAAGCAACGCACTACACATTTTCCAGATCGAGAGAGTGATTGCTTGCCTTACTCAAGATCAAATGACAGTTTTTGCATACTACACAAAATTAAAAAAATTGCGGGATGAGCTAGGATCCTACAATGATGCTATTTGCACATGTGGAGTAAACAACAAAAGATGCAAGTTGATGCAATTTCTCATGGTGTTGAATGAATCTTATAGTGTTGTCCGTGGTCAACTCTTTTTTATTAATCCTCTACCAGGTGTTTCACAAGCTTATTCTTCCATCATTCAAGAAGATAAGCAACGAAATTTTCACTAGTGTAGAAATGACTTTTTACATTTGGCGAAACTGACTTTTTACGTCGGTTTTGGGTCTGATGTAAAGTCAGGTGATATAGTAAATCAGAGACTTTTTAAATCTATTCTGGGTCCGATGTGGAAAAGACAGTTAACACATCGGTTATAAGCTAAGCCTGATTTAAAAAACAATTATAACATTATTTTTTTAAAAATTGACGCAACATTTTACATTGGTGGACCGTGTGGACCGATGTAAAAGATACCATTTTTATATCGGTTGTGCTTTTTGCCCGATGTAATACATACAGTTTTCGCAATTTTTACATCGGTTGGAAGTAATGACCGATGTAAAATATAAACAATTTTTTTCTAATAAATAATTTATTTTCTGGATGATTCTCTGTAAAAAAAAAATTGATACCCATTTTTTCATATTTTTCCAATATCACACAGACTATATTTAGGTTGCTATATATATATATATATATATATATATATATATATATATATATATATATATATATATATATATATATATATATATATATATATATATATATATATATATATATATATATATATATATATATATATATATATATATATATATATATATATATATATATATATCATAGCTTTCCAACATCACATAGACCACATCTAGGTCGATATTTTCATATTTTTCACAACAAACTTACAAAATAAACAATTGTATTGCAAACTTGAATTGTATCACAACAAAAAAACTCACAACAAACTTACAAATATATATTCTTCACAAAACATACAAAAATATTCAACTATTTATAAGTCTTTTTCCAAACTTTAATTACCAATATAAAATCCACAAGTAGATGCGTTATAGCTTCGATAGACAACACCAAAGTCACATTGACTGACTATAAATAATAATAATTAACATCAGCAA